CTGACCCAAACACGGCATATTTTAAAGAATTCTCACTGGGCCGTGAAACGTGAGATTTCTCCCACCCATTTTTCCCGGTCCCCCCTTTAAGAATGTGTGTTAGCTCTTATAGATAACCATATATTACATATTAAATATACTTCATGTTGTAGAATATTTTTTTATTTTTCACAGTTTTAATATTTACTAATTTAAGTTTTAGGCAATTACAATGTTTACTTGTATGTGATAATATGTTTAAGTATATAATTATTTTTATATACATGATTCGTTGCCTCACATGCGAATTTATGTTTGAAAGTTACTATCAATTTTGCATTACATATTAATTATAGATTATAAATATGTAATATACATATTAAAAATACATATTTATTATTTATACTTGTTATTGATAACTAGAGAAAAATTCTATAATAGCAATTTAATTATTTAATCAATTTTTCCACACAATGTGCATCATTTTTATTATTATATATAGTTATAGTGCTTACTTAAAAAAATAATGATAAAAACCATAAAATTTTTAAATGGTCATACTTCACTATATCTATGGCTTTCTCTTAATCTCAAGCAGCGTTACACAGAGTCCAAGATAAGATACTGGATGTTTCAAATCGCGAGGATAGCACCAGCGTAGTAAGCTGGTCTCAAGTATCAACCATTAGTTTCAAGTCCACCTGTAATCCGGGACCGCGTGTGTAACGGTACACAAGACAGCGTACGGTGGCTCCTCATGGCGGAATCAGGTATAAGCTTACCTTCCTCTTAGGCGAGGTCGATCGACCGCATACCACGATCCGGAATCGCGTCGTGGAAGCAGTCGTTGCTCGATCGTCCGCGACGCCCGAATCGAAAAATTCACGTCACAACGACAGGGCGGGTTTGAATTTCGTGCGCAATTTCGGAGCAGTTTCGCGAGAGTGGAGTACATAGTGTAATTTATCATTTCGCGAATTGCCACGCGTTTGTCTCCGTCTGCAATCACGATCCGCATGGATCTCACGAATTCCACATTCCTTGACTGAATGTTCCGTCTCCACTTCGAGTGATCGTTCCAGCTGGCCCGTGCTAGGATTCTGTGTCTCTCAGAAAATCAGCGATAACGTCCACGATAACGAAGGTAAGTCTCAATTGCAAGTAGAAGTCTGAGAAAGTCATTTCGACGTCACGATCCATCTCTCCTGCATAAGCGACATCGAAGATTTCGCGCGGAGACTTTAATGCCTGCAAGGCGGAGAAAAGGGTGTTGAGTGTTCATATTGTCGCGTATCATTTGTAATTGATAAATTGCTATGACAATTCAAGACTTATCTTTAATTTTGTTCTTATGTGGTTTTAAATACAATCTACAGTACAAAGCAATATTATTATAAATATTCGCGTTATCCACTTCTCTAATTATATTATATTGTTTAAAATATTATTTTATGCCAATAATTAATTAAAATTGAATTAAAACAGTGATGTATTGGTTGACCAAATAATGTAAACAATATTCATATTTTTATAAAAAAATTTTTAATTTTATTAAAACATAGTTGAGTAAATTTATAACATTTGTTCTTACATTTTACAGGAAATAGAAATATGTTGAATTTGGAAGAAAAATTACTAATTGTAAGATAAAATTATATAGATATTATTTTATATCAAATAAATCATGATTTGTACTTTGGATAAAAACAGAATAATTTAGATATTTTTTAAAATAAATATACTTGCACATGTGTGCAAGAAACTTAATTTCTGATAAGTTGTTTTGAGAAACGAACAAAAGTTAAATTAACACTCAACTAGACATATCTATGCCTATCTATGCGGGATCTCACCAGACCAGTTTAAAATCAAGAAATGTAGCTTGAATTCTGAGTTACAAGCCTTGCCGCTTGTAATTCGTATTCATTGTTAATTATGAAATAATTTGTGAGTTACAATGAGAAATATGAGAAACAAATTAATATCAAAGTAAATATAAATTAATCCAGTCAAAGTTCACGTGCAAATCTGTATAGAATCATGCAGTCGAGTCGAGATTGAAGATTCGAATGCCGTGATTGTCTATCTCGCAAATGTCGGGACAAAATTCATGCACGTTCATTCGATTGGCTTTAAAATGGCGTGTCGTAGCATGCGACACTTCAATCGATGCACGATTAGACAAAAGTATTCAAGAACAATGCAATTTTATCTACTGTGAAAGGTGACGTCTTCATTAATAGTGTCTATTTTTTTTGGAAAAAAAATTGAAAAAAATGCGAATACATCTTAGAATTTAAAACTTAGACTCAGCCTCTTTTACTTTGCAACTAGAGGCGGAAACGGATGTACCGTGGAATTGCATTTATGCATTTATAATATAAAGTAATATACATAGAAAGACTTGTGATTTTATAATGCTTTTACTTTAGATAGTAATTCCCACGCGTAGTAATACGCTACTAAATCATTTATAATATTTATGCAAATTTTATGAAATTTAATAGTGTATTTTAGTGAATGTTAATAATATTGTTTAATTGTAATTTATTTAAATATTTTATTTCTTAAAATCGAAAAGAATAAAAAAATTTACCGCTAAACTATTAAATCAAACATACAACTTAAACGTGCTAAGAAATTAGTAGCATTAAAAATTTTAATAGACAAATTAAGTAGTATCTTATTTGTATTGATTTATTTCTCGTACAATGATAATATAGAAAGGTAACACTAGAAAATTTTACGAATTTATACTAAATTATTAGAAATTTTCACGTTATAAATTTCGCATTTCAAAAGCGCTACTGTTTCTTATACGACAAGCGGAAATGATTGATGCTGAGGAAACACGGCGTGGTCGCACGCGAACGTTCTCCTCGACGTTATACGAAAGTCCGATTGTGAATGATACGGAATGAATAATAAAAATTTAGGGAGAAAGTACTTCCTAAAAGCTGTTTTCTTATCAGCGAGACTGGCCGCAGTTGGATCTCGAGCGAATCGAGAGAGGCGTGTCCTGTTTGAAGCAGCGCGAACAACATTGTTCGAATAGTTCTAGTTGGATGACGATGACTTTGAGACAAACTGGTTGTACAAACGACGAGATAATTAATCTCCCGACTGACTCTTGTTTCGATAGCTACGGGAGAGAGGCGCGATTATGAATTACATAAGATTCTTGTATCACCGCAACGTGGTGGTGCTGCTGCTTTCTCTGTCTGACCTGGATAACTTGCATCGCAAAATTCCTATTCTCTCGCCGTCATTGACGCGTGCTATATGATTATTGAAATTATGAGAGAAAGATGGGGAAAGAGATATTATTTCCCTCAAGTCGTACAATGAAACGATAAATATAACTGATACATCACTGTTTTTATTTTATTGCATTACAATTTTGCCCCGTAAACATAAGCAAATCGAAGTTTTATAATAAAGATTTAAATTCTCCATCTTTTAACCGATCTCTGCTATATATAAGTCTGCTATATTTGGAAGCTTTTGCGCGAAACTCAAATTTGTTAAATACATGCTAAATACATTCATCAGACAGAAGAGAAGGATGACGCACAACATATCGCGTCGCAAAACCGGTCGGCCATTTTGCCGTTTACCGACGAGCCGAGTGGCCGAAAGAGTTGATGATAGAAGACATTGGCGGACAATGAACAGTCAGATGATTTCGAAAGGCCAAATCACCATCCGCCGCTATTGTCTTTCCGCATACATATCTTGTGTTCTATCGAGTCTATCCTACGCATCCTTCTCACTCGCGCCCGTGTCGCAGATCGAGGGTGACTAACCAGATTAGCATAAAATTGCGAAATGCATTCCGCTGTGAGCGCGCGGAGAAGGACGCTATTTGCTACTTTTACTAGAAGCTTTATCCGCGAGATTTATCCGCACCAAGCGCAAGCATTCGTCGCGCGTGAGTGTATATTCGCTCACCGACTGCTATATGCAGAGCCGCGACTCGAATGATAGGTTTACGATGTTGTTGCTTCATAGAGATTAATAATCTTAAGCTTTTTTTTTCACATAAACCTACTTTTAAAGTAAATTTTATTTTAAACGTAACTATTTAAAAATAAAACAGTTATTATATGCCCAAAAAACATATCAAGAATGTAAACGTAATTATATAGAAGTATAAAATATCAATAAAAATTTTTTTAAAGATAGAAACAAAAATATACTATACATAAATTAGACTTAAATAACGTAATTAAGAGAAAGAAAGAAATGCATAATTTTACTTTACTGTAGATGGTCTGCGTACTTGTGATTTTTCACTCTGAAATTATTGAAGTTTCTCCTCAATATACATTAGAAAAAAATGTTTTTTTTTTATTTTGCGCAATTTATGACGGCAGAATGATGTCATATATGCAGCGGAAAATATAAATAGTGTCTACAGATATCCTATATGTGTCATAGAAATCTAAATATGTGCGTGGTTGAGTGTATCTCGATCTTGTGAGCTGAATAATCGTTGCAACACTTCCCATATTTCCGAACATATAATTATGATCGATATCAAGCTCAGCACGTTGGATTAATGTTTCTTTGAATATGGAATAGATTTATAATATTAGAGGTACACCCTTTTGTCTGAATTTCAGTGGTAATTGTTTAAACTTTTCAAAAACAGCTTTATTATCTAACATAATTTCAAGTATCAAATATTAATATTGTTGCATAAAAATTCAATATAAGGTAACCGTGTATTGATTTGTATGTGCGTACATCATAATCGTATAACTGCAGATTTCAGAATTAATCATCAATAGTCTGCGAACTATACCGGAAGTTGTGGGCTAGTTGTGGGGAGAGACGCGGGGAGATGCTTCCGTTATATGCAATTCATGTAATATGATTTCTTGCACGCGCGCAAGATCTGACATTGAAAGTCGATGTCGTATTCAGAAAGTATCACGTACAAAGCAAGCTATAAATTAAGAATCGATAATAATTTTGTAATTGTTCAAATGAAAATAAATCACATTGTTTTGTTCCAGAACGGACCGGCTGTACGAAATGATGGATACATTCATACGGAGATCAATTTAACGTTGTTTCAAAATGTACAACGAGTGGCAAAAGGTGAGTTTAACGTTCATTAATTATACTTTCCATCACTCTAAAGCCCGAGAACTGTTTCTAAAGTTACAAGATGACATTTTACAATAGAAAAATACAAAATAAATACTAACCGATTGAGAATACCAATGTCAGATTAATATTAAAGAAAATAAATTTTGTACAAACTTATTTATTGTTTAATGAGGCGTCGTAACTCCTACACATAGGAGTTCATACATTATAAGATATTATTTTTGGATTATCACTGTGTTGCACAATATTTACATAGTCACGATCGCGGTGGGATCGTTGCGTGGTCGGTGTCAATGATCTGCGCACACGCAATTGCATTACTGCTCACAGCAGCTACTTTCGAACGCTTTATCCGACGCCTTTTGATGTCAGTTAAGAATCAATCTGTGCACCGATCGTCATCGACTTTGCAACAAGTCGGGCCAGAAAATATACAATAAAAAAATTATCAAGTTTGTTTCAAGTTTTTAAAGAATGTTAAAAGCTAGAAGTGACACATATTTTAATCTAAAAATAAAACTAAAATTATGTATATCAGTTATTTAACAACGCGCATTTCTAATTACAAATTCGTTCAGATTAGACAGTGAAAAGGTTTACCTAAGTATCGATAACTGTGATAATGCGGATCATGCTCAAAAATTTTGTTGCACACACACACACACACACACACACACACACACACACACACACACACACACACACACACACACACACACACACACACACACACACACACACACACACACACACACACACACACACACAACACAAATGCGTATGGAATGCAGATGCATTGCGAGTGCTAGCGTAGTAGCGGCTTTTCACTTTTACTTTGCTCTTCGCGCATCCAATCGCGAATAATGAGCGACAGAATAATTAAGGAAGCATTTCGAGCGTAGGACATTAATAAAATTGATATAAATAACTGACATTATGGAAAATGAAGACATGACACTGCAAGAAATTTAATGAGCGGTGCTATGCTTTTTTTACTTGAGAATTTCATTTTCTACTCGCTAGTAATAATAATTTTCAGATAAAACAAGCTTATTAATAATAGAATATTTTATTTGATTTCGGCTGAGAAAAATCTCGAATTTAAATTGAACGTTGATAAATAAAAGAAATACGATAAGCTGAATCACTTTGCAAATAAATAGCTGGCAAAGAAATCTGATTAATTCCAATAAATCAATCCATGCTAAAGGTAAAAAAAAAGAAATAATCGTGTCCCATCTTGAAGTTGCGTTCGCCACGCTTGGCAATCGACAATTTCTATCGCTCTTCTGCAACTCGCCACGGCCGCTAGGCAGAATCGCTTCCCTTCGCGCTCCTACCGTCTATACCTTCATATGCAACGTGTGCATGTGCATATACGCTAAGTGCGCGCGCGCGTATTTAGCGCGTAATTTATATAAGAAGAAGCACGCTTGGTTCCACCCCAAAGCGCTTCGATTCACTGGCGTCGGTAGTGTACGATTTCATCGTATCTCGACAGCAAAATAGCGTGAATGCAAATAGAGGGCTTCCGTGAAGATTGGACGAGAAGACAGGAAGGAATGAGGCAGCGAAGAGGCTCGATTGGGGAAGACGCGATCGGACGGCGATTATAGTGGCACGTTTGATCAGAAATGTGGGCCGCTTTCAGGCACGGCCTAATTAGCGTGTCTCAATTAAAAACGCATACGCCACTGCATAGTCGAGGCAATTGTTGCGGAGAGGAAGGCCTGCAACTTCCAGTGCCGCGTCGAACATCCTAGCGTCCGCATCGCGCGATTATCTTCGGCCGCGAAGAAAGAAAGGCTACTTGCGAAGAAATCTCCCGTGAGAGGGTCAGTTTTCGGAGTCGGAGAACGAGCACACGGCGACATTAGTGGGACCGAGGATGATACTACGGGACACCGTTAACAAATTCCACGTGCGCGACACAGACTTTTGCTGACCCGACTCGTCCAATGAGCTCGATAGAAACTCGCGTGGCCTCCTGACTCCTTTAAGCCAAATTTAATATGCACGATCACGCGGGCTTTGTTTAATCACTGAGGTCGCGATCGCAATCGTGACAGGATTCCTCGAAAAGTTGCCCACGATCGCTCGCTGCAAATAAATCCAAAATATAACGCGAGGGAAACAGTGAGATGGCAAACGAAACGCGGAAATTCATGTCGGAAGGAGGTTAATGCAAAAGAATCTAAAGTTTCCACGCACGAGCTGTAACTCGTTCTGAAATATTCGACGACTTCGTCGTATGTTTCCGTGTGAAATGGGAAAACTATGCGGACGTAGTTTTACTGGTCGCAAATATGACTTTGCAGTCGAACGATGAAGCGGTTCTTGACGCTACTTAGACGTCGTGTGTCTAACTGAAAACTTGTTTGTGTAGCTGCAACGACCCGCTTTTCCCATTTATTTATTTTCAATTTTGTGTAATAAACGGTGTTGAAATTGTGTACAAAATCAATTTAATAAATAACAATCAATGTATTCTACGTAATACACATATAATAATAACAAACATGAATAGAAGAAAAGTGTGAAAACCTATCTACTGTTCTTAATTAATTTGCAAACTTGAAATTTTTTAGTCTTAAAATAATTCAAACTGACAAAATAAATGCGTCATTGATAATTATCATATATAAATTACGAAAAAAAAAATTTAATAATTGACAGGATGATTAGTGTTTGCGTTGAATTTCATATATATAATATATGTCTCCTGAATAATTCATCGTCAAGTCAGCCTGTGAGGCATCGAATCTCTTGACGAGTGAAAAATATGTGTCGCGTGTGTTCGATACGTCGGCACATCCGAGAGAGTTGCGCAGCGGACATTGACTTGAAACGTTATGTGCGTTTATCATCTGCGAAGAGGCTCTTATTTAAATTGAGCGAACTTGTAAAATGCGAGGAACAGTTGACATTACTGTAATTGAAGAAAGACGCAATCATACCGAACACGCAATATTAGAAAAATCAAGGGAAGAGAAAACGAAAGAAAATTTCGTATATTCGTGTACTGTGGAAGTATGGATATACAATAGAAGCGGCGTTTATGGATAAACACATCCTCATTAGAGATTCGTGAACATTCTCCGAGGAGTATTTTTCTAGATAGAAATCGATGTTGTGAGTCTATGCTTATACAACTACATTTTAACGCACTGCGTGTGTTATTTATTTAACAAATATACGCAAAGAGAGAAGGACAAGCTTATGAAAATACAATATTATTTCTGCATTGAAAACGCTTACAAAAAATGAATTACACTTTTAGAACTTTATTTCATCCCGGTGGATAATTAATGAAACTAACAAGAAACTGTGGACTCGTATTTCTCACAAATCCATCTTGGTATGCAAAGTGCGCTTCCGATACCATCGGCAACGAAGTGTTTGGCGATTCTGCAAAGAGAGAAATCTCGGCGGAGAGAAGACAGCGAGTGGCGAACGATCCGTCTGGCGTTTTGCTCATGAAGTGCGCGGCCAATCGCCGATATTCTCGCCAGCGATGGCCAGCGTGGATTCGCCGGGATCGGACGCGAAACAGCAACAGCAGCAACAGCGGCGCTGGTCCGTGGGTCGATCGTCGACCCCGCGAAGTCACTTTTCGCGGCACTCCTCGGAAGCTTTCTACGCGAGTGCGGAACCGTTATCCGGCCGTGGTGGACGCGCGTTGCATAATGCGAGCGGCGGCAGCGGTGGCGGCGGCCCAGACCCAGATTCGAATTCCGCTCTGGATTCCTGCGGCGCGCCGGAAGCGAGAACTAGGCAATACCGAATTTCCGCCCGGCCGTCGCAAAACGACGCGAAAGATCGTCGAGCAAGCACGACCAACGACTTCGAGCTTTATTACACGGTGCCGCGCAACCAGACGATCTCCAGGAAGGAGATTCTACGGCGCAGAAGCGTCAAGGATGAGCCCGGAGTGCTTCATTCCGCGGAAAAGGATCAGAGACCGAAAACTCTGCCGTCGATCGGCAGAAGAGCTCGTCAAGACACCGAGCGCTCTTCTTCAGGCTTGAAGAAAGTCTCGAGGCAGGATATCCTGCGACGTCACGCGAATGTGGAAGAGAGTTCGCAGTCCAAGAAAGACGTCGCGAGGACATCTTCGAGTTTTCAGAATTCAGGTCGCACGGTTAAAGATAATCGGGATTTGTCGCGGCCGTCGACTTTGCCCAAGGTGCTGCAGTCCTCGAGGACGCGTCAATTGGAGGAATATGCATTTTCGAGAACGAAGGAGACTGTCGAAGGGAAAGGAAGGGAAGCGCCGATTTACGGAAGAATTCGGCGACGAAAAATGTCGTTGCCGACCGGCGCTACGACGCAGCGCGATTCCACGACTCCTTCAAACACTCTGACGCGATTCTCCAAGACGAAGACGAGCGGAGAATCGCGCGCGGAAACGTCGGCAAAAGTCGTCCGACACCTGCGGGATCCCGTTCCCGATCCGCCCAATCGGTCTAGATACGCAGATGACGTCACCGACGATATTTATGCCAAGGTCGCACGCAAGGTCTCCAAACAAGTTCAGAGTCAAACGGAGAAGCCGATCGACCGAACGATGTCAAGGCGGAGGATAATTAGCAACGCGGATTACATGGATTCCTTGGAGCGCAGGATGCATCAAGATCGCGATCAGGACGTTGTCAAGATTAAGCATCACGCTATATTAGTCTCGAAAGCGGATATCGAGAGAATGCGTAATTTTAAAATAGCAAGAAGTGATCTGGAAAGTACGAGGACATCTTACCGCGTGGATTCCACCTCGTCTATGAGAAAGGATTCGAAAACGGACTCCTGGTCCCGCAATAAATATTCTCGAAGAGACTCCACGTGGACTAACGAGAAGCAAATAAAGTACAGATCGAAATCGCAGACTGGATTAGTGATGGAAGAACAAAAGAAAAATTCAAAACCAACGACATTAAAATCAACGACATTACCGAGCTACGTGAAGCTCAGACGGAAGACGTCGACAGAACTTCCGATGCAGAATGCAGACGAGCAGAGGAAGACCTCGAACAGCGGAACGTTGACGAAGCAGAGCAAAGAGAGATCAAATTACGTGAGAAAGACGGCGACGCGCGTCTCAACGCACGTCAGAGCGTTCAGTGATGCTAACAGCACTCATTCTAATTCTCCGGACATGCCGTTGTCAATATTTGGCTTCTGTACTGGAAAGAGGAAGACGCAGGTGTCTTCCATGGCACGCAACTTCCCGTCATGGAACTTGAAAACGGTTCGAGATTATTTATCGAATGATTTTTAAATAATGAAAATAATATTACGGAAATTTCCAAAATATATACAAGCGATTAAAATAATTTTGTTTTAAGAAATTAGGACAAATTTAAATAATTTTCCTAAAAAAATTGGTTATTAAATTAATTTTTCGAATTAAATAATATTCTTCTGCGTGAAGAATTGCTAAAAAATTTTCTAGATAGGAATTCGTACATAAGAGGATATTAAAGCTGAATATTATAAACAGTAGAGCTCGATTCGATTAACTACAGATGTAAAACTCATAATTTCAAGTAAATTATTCCGTTTAAATAATAAATTTAAATAGTAATCTTAATAAATGTCAATTGCGCACACATGCACACAAGCATTCAGCACTTAATTATTTATTTAAAATGCAACATGTTTACTTCCAGGGTGAATTAGTGTGGTTCGACCCCGGCGTCGGCCATGTGCTGCCAGGTGAAGTCCTGGAATACCACAGAGCAGCCAATGTACTTTCGGTGCAAGCAGTGATTGCCGGCAAGGTGAGCTAGTCCGGAAAGAAAGCGCTTAATAACCGTTCATAGATTAATCGCGCATAATTATGGATAGTAGTTGAACCGGCAACTGGAAAAAAGATCAGCTACATGTTACTCTTTATGATTTTATCTCTTCAATCTCGTTCAACGTGTTTGATAACATTATATATTTTATTATAACTGTATGTAGTTTGTTGAATATTAAAATTATATTTTTTTTATTATTTGATACTATATAGTGTTGAATAATATAACGTTAAAAGTGATGTATGTTTTAATTGACAATCAGCTCGGATATAATTATCATGTGCAATTAATTCTGTCAAAACAAGCAGAGAACGGAACACGTATCTGTGTAATTTGATCGTCGGTTCTCAACTTTCTAGCCGTGCGTATTTGAATGTTCCATTAGACGAGAACGAGAGACGCAACTCTCACGCGCGGCTGCTTGAATCTGGTTTCCACCTTTTTCACTTTTTTGCCCTTCGCGCTTCGTGCGAATTTCAAGTTCGTGCCTCCGAGCCTTGAATTGTATCGCTGGTCATCGATCTCCGCAGCGTGGGTGTCGCTACATTTAAAGAGCGCTACGGACGGCAAAGTGAAATGAGTGGTAGACGATTATTCACACGCATCGTTGACGTAGTTTCCATTAACACACGAGGCGCAACCGCATCATTATGCAACCGACACCCATCGCGGGCTATTTAACAACGAACAGTTTTCCTGCCCGCCTGCTTTGTGTTCTCCGCGAGTACTGTCGTGCACTAGTTGCAGCACTGCACTTCACCGGTGTCCCATTATAGATGATGTTGCATTGGCGTACGGTGCGCTAGTCGTCTTCGGAAGGAAACGCCGAAGTGACTTAACATTTAGCTTTAGCGTAGATTCGCAAATTTGACGAACCAACTTACGTTCAAGCGTCTAGCAGATAGATTAGAAAGAATAGAAGTCTGCATAGATTTTAAAATTGACAATCTTTTCATCTTTTCCTGAGCAATTTTTAATATGATTCTTTAATGAAATATGTATCTTTATTTTTCATCGCTCAACTCATATTTGCTTGTCGCAATTAAAATGCTTTAAACTTTATGTATCCTCAAAATTTATATAAATTTTATTTACGCAATTTTATGAATTTATCTAGAATATTTTTGATAAACAAAAAAAGAGAATTACGTTGAGGTGAACTGCTAAATTTTGTTGTTCAAAATCTAATGATAAAATTTCATCAATTTGCCATAAGCCACGCATTGCCGCCGGCGCCAATGGAATTGCAACTGCAAACGCAGACGGGCCGGTATCCGGTTAGGTCTCACGTGAGTGGCTCTCTCGCGTCTTATATGAATTCGCACGAATCCTCTTTTTGTTAGACATTCTTACAGACTAAGAAAATGCGACAAGAATGATCGCGAAATTCGTTTCAAATAGAAAGTTACGTTTTTCCCGTATCTCTCTTTAACTTCAGCGATTAGAAAATTGCAAATGAAAAGTGTCATCGAGTGTAATCGCACGTTCGTGAGTTATCGTGAAAATAACAAACGTATATTATCTAGCTGTAATCGCACTGAATCTTTCGTGCAGAAAAATAGCGAATAATTGCATACAATTATGTGTTTAAGCCGCAAATCTTTACTCTCACCAATTTAAGCGGCGTGAAGCCCAGGCAGGACTTAGGACAAAATGGTGTGGAGGATATGATTCAGTTGACGTGAGTCTCTATCTCGCATATCGATTCGTGTATTTGTGATAAAACGATATCAAAGCAATCTGAATCAATTTTTCAGGGATCTGAACGAGGCGTCATTATTATGGAACTTGAAGATCCGTTACGACAAAGAATTAATTTACGTACGTTGTGCCTGATTTATTTGTTTACATCATTTGTAATAGATTTTAATAATTATTCAATAATCAATTTTTAGACGTACACGGGAAGTATCCTTGTGGCGGTAAATCCGTACAAAATGTTCGACATCTATGGACTGGATCAGGTGAAGCTTTACGAAGGACGAATCCTTGGAACACTTCCGCCGTTAGTATTTTTTGCGTTTGTAACAAGATGACATTTAAATAGAAATATATAAAAAATTTTTTTTAATTACAAATAATTTATTTATCTATTCGCAAATCGATGAAGCTTAACACATTTGCTATTATTTTCCGCAGGCATTTATTCGCTGTGGGTTCTTCCGCGTACAGTCAAGTGACTGCGGCCAATAACGCCAGTGCTAATCAGGTGGTCGTCATTTCCGGCGAATCCGGCTCGGGGAAAACGGAGTCTACAAAATTAGTGATGCAATATCTCGCAGCCGTGAATCGCGCACCGAACAACCTCGTCACCGAGCAAATTCTGGAGGCAACGCCACTTCTGGAGAGCTTCGGAAATGCCAAAACGCCGCGAAATGACAATAGCAGCCGCTTCGGAAAGTATTTGGAGGTCCATTTCAGAGAGTGAGTAATGTTAATAAAAGAAAATTCGTCGGTTTTGCTATTTATGCAAACATTTTCACAGAATTTTTTTAATTTCTCAGCGGTGCAATCATAGGCGGTAGAATAACGCAATATCTTCTAGAAAAGAGTAGAATAGTAACTCAGGCTTCGGAGGAGAGGAACTATCACGTGTTCTACGAACTTCTAGCTGGACTCGACCAGCAACTCAGGGATAAATACGGTCTTCTAACACCGGACAAGTATTTTTATTTAAATCAGGTGTGTATGCGAAATCCCTGAATTTTATTTGGAAGAAGGAAATAATCAATAGTATCATAAAATTGTTGATAATTAAAATTTTGTCCATTTTTTCAGGGTGGAAACTGTGAGATCGATGGCAAGAGCGATGTTCAGGATTTCAAAGCGCTGCTGTCAGCCATGCAAGTTTTGGGCTTTTCGTCTGAGGAGCAGGATACGATTTTCAAGATTCTAGCCAGTGTATTGCAGCTGGGAAATGTTTACTTTCACCGGAAGCAAATGAGACACGGCCAGGAAGGAGTGGAAGTCGGTTCTGACGCAGAAATACGCTGGGCAGCGCACCTTCTTCAAGTAAATTCCGAAGGCATCATCCGAGCACTCACCACGAAGACAACAGTAAGTTTTTATTGCACAACACAGTACAACTATCTAAGAAACAGCAAAGTCATTTGCGCCGTTACGCGCGTAATGTATAAAAAAAAAACACGTCAGAAAATTCGAATATTATAATTTAATAAATTTATAAATTTTTATAGGAAGCAAGAAACGAGAGAGTCTTCACGGCCTTAAATATCGACCAAGCTCTCGACGCCAGAGACGCATTTGCGAAAGCTCTGTACAGTTCGCTCTTTTCATGGCTAGTCGCGCGCGTCAATCATATTGTTTACAAGGGTACTAAACAAACTGCTGCCATTTCGATCCTCGATATTTTTGGCTTCGAGAATTTCACGGAAAATAGTTTCGAGCAATTATGTATCAACTATGCGAACGAGAATTTGCAATTTTATTTTAACAAACACATCTTCAAGCTAGAACAGCAAGAGTACGCGAAGGAGAAAATTGATTGGACCACAATCAACTATACGGTAAGATTGATTTTAATAACATAATTTTGTGTAGTGTAAAATCTTCTCAAAAATACGAGCTCGATCGGAAAATCTTCCAATTTTTATGAAAGTTAAATAGACAATTATTCAATAGTAAAATAATTTTAAATATGCGTTGTACATCAGAAATCGTCTATCTGTCTCAGGACAATTTACCAGTAATTCATTTGATTGCGAAAAAACCGGTGGGCATTCTTCACCTGCTGGACGACGAAAGCAACTTCCCTAAAGCGACGGATCTTTCCTTTTTGGAAAAATGTCATTACAATCATGCGTTGAGCGAGCTGTATTCAAGACCGAGAATGAACTCCGCCGAGTTCGCGATCAGACATTACGCTGGCCAAGTTTGGTACAATGTGGACGGTTTCCTGGATAAGAACAGAGACACTTTGAGGCCGGATGTGGTCGAATTATTGATTAGTAGCAAAATTTCGGTAAGCTTCCTTCTTGTTTTTTTTTTACTGTTACGTTGGAACATTAATGTCATAATAATATGCGATTGTGATAATTACAGATGGTCAGCAAGATGTTCCAGCACGTCAGAACCACCCACGAAGCTAATAAAACCATGAATAAGCCGAATGGCAGATTTGTCACTATGAAGCCGAGAACTCCGACAGTTTCGGCTCGATTTCACGACAGTCTCCAGCAGCTTTTAGAGTCCATGTCTCAGTAAGTAGTTTAATACGTTTTAAGATGTAAATAAGAAACAAATCTAGTTCATAAAATTGTTATTTACGATGTCAGATGCTGTAGTTTGGATAGTAATACGAAATATTAGTTTAGATTTAAAATATGTATTATTAAAACTTTTATTCTTTCCATCGCGTTTACAGATGCAATCCGTGGTTTGTCCGGTGCATCAAGCCAAATACTGAGAAAGCACCGATGAAATTCGATATGCCTTGCGTACTTGAGCAATTAAGGTACACAGGAATGTTGGAGACGATCCGCATCAGAAAAACTGGCTATCCGGTCCGTCTTTTGTTCGGACACTTTGTGGATCGATATCGGTATCTTGTATCGACGCATCTACCAAGAGGAGCGCCCAACAAGGAGCTCTGCAGGATAATTTTAGACAAAGCCGCACCAAAAGAGGCGCAGTCACAATATCAGCTCGGACTGACGAGAGTATTCCTGCGCGAATCGTTGGAAAGGGCTTTGGAATATAACAGAGCTTTGATTTTGGAGAGAGCGGCCATTACAGTTCAGAGGTAAGTATTTTATAAAAGATGTATATATATCAAGAAATGTTTAGAATTTATAATCTAATAGAAAAAACATTATTAGAACAAAGTTCTTATAAAATAATGAGATTATTTTTGCAAGATCGTATGTTTTGATTAAATGATTTATTAAAAATTATTAAAATTTGATTGTCTTTTTCTAAACTGAATAAAAATTAGTAAAGTTTGTTTGGAATGTCTTATTCTCAATGTATTTACTGGATATTACATTCTCAAACTTTCACTTATTTTAGTTAATTTTGCGAAAGGCAAAAATTTCAATTTCTTAAACGTAAAAATACCTTGAGCAATTTTTCATCCGAATGGAAAGATAGATCTTTAAGTTGCGCAAAAGATGGCTCGAGCTTGTACAATAAAATAAATATTAATATAATTAATCAAGATATATTTGCATATAAAGCATATTTATAAATATTATTTGAGGACTATAAATTTTTCGAACAGCTCGACACTTTATTTTTATAGATAATGAAATTGATGTGAATTAAATGTACGAATCTTTTTTTCCAAGCGTTGCTCTATTCTTGCAGATACACGAGAGGCTTTTTAGCGCGCAGAAGATTCCTCAACATTTCCCGAAGCACAGTATTGATACAAGCGGTGTACCGCGGTTATCGAGAACGCAAGCAATTCCGCGCTATGAAGAAGGGTGTTATGATGGCGCAGAAGCTCTACAGAGGCAGAAAACAACGAGAGAGATTTGAAGTGTTGAAAGAAGAGATGGCGAAGAGAGCGGAGATCGAAAGAGCCAGTAAGGAGCGAGCGAAGGCGAAGCAGCAACGGGATGAGCAGGAAAGGACTTCGCGAGCTGTTGCCGGTGTAAATCATTTGGAGATTCCCGCGGAATTAGCTTTCATTTACAGCAAACTTGATGGTACGTTTTTGATAAACTACCTTTCTTAGATGACAGAAACATTTAAATAACGTCTGGAAGTACTTATATTTTTAATGCGGGTTTTAGACGTCTAAGCGATTCTTTGAGATCAGCAATCGCCGATACGCCGGCTTACGATTTTCCGTTCTAATATTTTTTTTTTATTAACGAGAGCTCTCTCTTTGAGAAGATCACTGTTTTTCCAAAAAAAAGTTTAAATTATAACAAGCAACCGAAAATGATTCTCGATGACAAATCGCGTTCTCGCAATTTGCATTATTTAATGATCAGATTTTTGAAACAGGAATATTTATATTATTTGTGATTATTTACAGGCTGGCAGCCTACGCACACCGAGCGAAATCTGCTCAAAGTCGTCGGCCAAGTCGTCCCAATGAACTTTACCTACAATTTGTCGCACGACATCGATCAGTATCAATTTTCGAAGTTCACTAATATTTATTTCAAGAGTCACATCTTTGGAATGAAGCGCGAGCCGATCAAAACGCCGTTCCTAGCAAAGGCTCGCGATCAAGATTACACGGATTCTCTAATGATCTTTAAAATGATATTGCGCTTCATGAACGAGAGCAATCTTAATGGAAAACGCGAGCAAGCGTTGGGAGACTACATCGTTAATAAGGGTATTGTGAACGAAAAGCTGAGAGACGAGATACTGTGCCAATTAGCGAATCAAACCTGGAAGAACGAGAATGACGCCAACAAGGAGAGAGGGTGGCTGCTGCTGTCCAATTGTTTGTCAGCGTTCCAACCCAGCGGTACCCTCTTCAAGTATTTTTTGAAGTAAGTGTCTTTATTAGCCAAACGCATCGTCGTAGCGGTTGCTTCTAATTAAATTTATTCGATCAGATACGTCTCGGATCACGCCTATGACGGTTACAAAGCTTACTGCCAACGCAAATTGTTGCAAGGTGAAAGAACAATGTACCGTATAATGAATAATAATCACCAAACGGTGCACCAAGTGCCCAGGAATTATCCTCCGTGCGTCCTGGAATGGCGGGCCAACAGGAACCGCGTAAATATGGCGCTCAGTGTTGGCTTTTACGATGGTAAATCGCTCTCGGATTTTTAATGCTATAATTTTGGAATTTTTATACTGATAATTTTTATTACAAATTTTTGCAATCAATTTTTTTTCATTTCACAGGTGAAACAACTACGTGCGCGATAGATTCCTGGACGACGTGCGAAGAGTTGGGTAATCTCGCGATTCGAAATCACGGAGTAGAGAACGCCGGCTGGACTATCACACTCTGGAACCAATTAGACGGTCCGGACGCTATCGTGACGGAGACCAACGGCTTCGATTATGTCCTGGACTTGATTTCGGAAATGGAATTGGCTCCGGCTTTCCCGGCCGCCAAACACATGTTTTTGGAACAACGAAAGAACAGTTTGCCACCCATAAAAAAACGAGAAGTGAGAAATTTCAATAATAATAGATTTCAAGCAATAATAGAGGAGTCTTAATGCAATAGAAACAAAATAATTAGTGTCAGGGTATCAAGTTCTCATGTTTAAACTAATAAAATACTTTTTTCAGCACGCTCAAGTCATTCGAGAGTTGGAGCAAGAGATGGAAATCCCTATCCTGAAAACCTTCCAGCCTCTCGAAAGAAAATCAGTGCCAAAGGTAGTTGACAAGCCTGTGGAACCGGAAATCCAGGCACCCAGACGACCTGTGGTCCCTCCTCCACAGCCACCTGTTGCAAAGCCTGTATGTGTTAATTTAATTAATCTTTTTATCTTTCATAAAGCTTTATCAACAATAGAATATATAAAAAAATTTTTTAAGAACGTTAGAACGTATTAATTTAAAGCAACTATTAATTTTTTTATTAAAAGAAAAAGTTGTCTTTGTATCAATCTTTATATCAAAATAAACGCATAATTTAAATTATTTATTTATTTTACATTTAATAAACTATTTCTCTTTATCGACGTATTTAACGGACGTAACACATTATACGCAGATGCGAAAGCAATCGCACGAGGCTATTTTGGAAACTACGACGGAAATGGGGCTGTCGAGAAACTCCGCCTTGAACGATCGCTACTTCGAAAAAGAGAAGCAGCGTAGTCGAAGTTTGGACAATTTATTACAACCGGAAATGATTCCTTCGCCGGTGAAGCTCGCCAATCTCGGGCTTTCCTCGTCCAAATTGAACGAGCGGTACCACAGTTTGGAAAGAATCGGCGAGACTCCAGCGGTGAGCAACGTTGAGTATATGACGCGCAGTGAGATCGCGCAGGAGCGGAAGTATAGCAGAGCTACGAGAACCACAGAGCCCAACATCGAGGAGGAGGATCTCACGATCGACTTTGAATACCCGGACATCCAATCCGTCAGTCAAACCGGAACGATCAGAGGATGATAAGAGCTACATAAGATCGCAGACCAGATTCATCAAATCACAATATCCTGGTAGGCACAGACAGACATCATTCTTAATAAATGAACAAATTCCAATCAATTCTACGCACGTTATAATTTCTAATGCTAATGAGCGTTCAAGTTTATTCTGTTTTCGTCATTTAAGTTTGCTCTTGCGTAAGATGTATTCCAGAATTTCCAGCGCGAGAGAAAGCTGACAATTATGCAACGTGATTTTTCCGTATCAGCCTCGCGCAGATCGATAATTTTTCTCGCTTTCAGGCAAACGCGCGCTGCCGGGAAGCCAGTCCAGTCGTGCTTACATCGAGAAGAGTGAGTACGGTGTGAAATCGTCGGCCATGTCTGACACCAGCGAGGCGCCTTCTTTGGCATCGCACGTTCGGCGCGTAAGAGTGCCCAGCCAAGCTTCCGACGTCGATCAGTTTCTGGATGAGCTTTTCATGCCCGTGTTAGACGGTAATCTCGACGAACTATCAGATGCACGCAGCTTAGCCGCTTCGATAAAAGGCTCGCGTGACATCAGGCCATTTGAAGATGAAAAAGTACTCGAGAATCTGCGGAGAAACGATAGTAAAATTATCGCGTCGACCACCGTCGATGATTTCATTAAGAAAATGACGATGGGAAACGAGCGTGCGGATATCAGCGCGGGTGAATTGTCGAAGAGGATCAAAGGAGGCGGCAATATGGACATTCCTAATCAGAATGCAGCCTTCAATTTCAGCCCGATCGCACAGAGCATGATGTCGCCACCCATGATGATGCCCGTGTTCAGTCCCACTCAACAAGTTTCATCCTCTCAAAATGCTAACATGAACATGGGTGCAAGTTTTATGCCCATTCCGATTTATAACATGCAGGGACTCAGCCTACCGCAGTATCCTAGTTCGCCGTCCAATCAAAACAACGATATGGTGGTGTACCAGCAGAATCTTCAGCGAGCTTTCCTGCAGAGCGCGATGGCGCAGAATATTCAGATACAACAGCAGCTACTAGCGCAGAATCAGGCTTTGCAGCAACTGTTGGTCCAAAGTCCGAACTCAACACAGCAACCGGTGAGAGATTAATGAAAAACGCAATAAATCTGTACAAAGTTTTTTCGAGGTTTATATGATTTATCAGTAACAAATTGATCTTCTTATCGTGATTCAAACGAATTAGATAAATTTTCAAATAAGGAAAGTTATAATTTTCTGTTACGTCCAGCCTTAAAAAATAATAAAATCTTGAATACTTTTTAATACAGCAAGTAAGTATTGTGTCGATTAAAATGCAAATTTTTGTCGTAAAACGCGTATAAAGATTAAAATTAATAATAAAATAAAAAATTCTGTCGAATCGTTAGTAGAAAAGACAATGGTTAGACTAAAAAATATATTTAAATTTCATTCATTTCTCAAAAGAATTTTTAACACATATTTATCTTTCAAATTCGGTTAAAATCGAAATTGTTGCCGCAATAATTAATACTTTCAGAGACTATAATTCTCTAAATTGTAGACACGTTTGGAATTAATGTTACTGAATAATATTGAATTCTTCAACACTTGAATCACGATCAGAGATGAACATTGCATGTCGAGCACGGTCATAAAAGGTGCACCGGTTTCAAGGTATCATGTTTTACGGTCACGTAACTATTATCACCTCGACGGTCCACGATTGTAATCAAACTGACAATATATCCGTTGAATGAAAACTAATTCTTAACGAAATGTATCGTCGTTTTGGACGATTCTGGGTCTTTGAGCCGCGTCACGGCATGGGTGTGTGTTTCCAGAGCACGGTGTTACCCGCTGGCCCCTCAAGCATGAATCTTGTCCCCCCAGCTCCCCCAATCAGTGCCCATACGGGGCTGAATGATTCTATCGGACGCTACTCCAAGGTATCTACTGATTTTCACTAACCTACGCTCTATACCGCGACTTCCCGAATGATTGCAGAATTATCATGTACATATCACGTAGCGGAATAGCGAGAGGGAGATTTTCGGAATTAGGAGCAACCAGATCAAATAATATTCTTAATCGCCGGATCTCATCACAGCGCAGAAAATTTTCTAATCTCGAATCAATCCACGAGTCTCATCGCTAGAAATAATTTTTCGAAGCCGATCGAAAATCTATCTAACCTTTCTTCAATTAGGTCTCATTTAGAGAACCCGACGATCTTGAACTGTGGTCAACGGAAAAACGGGGACCGTCTGCGCAATCCACGCCAATTAATCAACGGCAGGAAACAATGACGGTGAAGGCTCAAATTCATAGGTCTCAGAGCCCGCCTAGAAAGAATTCTGAAGTCACCCGAAAAACAAGCGCCGATTATGCGCGAAAAATCAGCGTAGATCGAAAAGTGACCGATAGAAAGGCACAGGCAGAAGTAAAGAGAACCAACCTGAACAAGAATAATATACAGAGCAATTTTACCAACGTGCTCAGTGAGCTGAAGAACAGAAAGAGCAGCGTAGACAGCAATCCTTCAAATTCCAGCAATAACAAGGGCGTGCCGCCACCCCCACCGATGCCTCCACCTTTGGAATCTCATGATCCTTCCGAGTCCAGACCGTTCCTCGATCCGTACGGAAGAGCGAAGACAGTACGCATCGGGAAATGGAGGTGAATTTAAAATTAATAATTGTTATTAATAATCGAAGAAAAGAACTATTATCTGACGAATTATAAAATAATAAAATAATAAGTTTCTAAATCTCGCTCGCTAAAACATATTGCATTTATTAGACTTTTAGGTTGATTTAATTTTTTGTACAAATTTGACTTTAATTTTACAATAACTATCTGATGCTGTTTAGGTGGCCACCGCCCAGCGACTCGAACGAGAATCAAGGACAAGACAGTTTCATAGAATTCAAGATGCGCCAACAACAGCAACAACGCAAGATAACGCCGCATTATCAGGAATACGATCATGGCGAAGGCGAGCCTACGACGGAAGGCGGCGTCGAATGGGAAGAATTCGAGATCGAAAATATTGTCAGCAACGAATCCGCGCATCCGACTGCGACGAAACACGAAGGTTACAAGGAAGAAGGAGAAAAGAAAAAGAAAAAGTCGAAGTAATTAATCTTAAATTTCTTTTCGTGCTGTGAAGCCTGAGAGAATGCAATAATGCAAATTTCCAAATTGTTTCGCAGATCACCTCTGGAAGTAGGCGCGCAAAGACCGTCGCCGGGAAGCATAGGCAAGCTGAAACTCAGCTCAGAAATGAGGCAGAGATTGGAAAAAGTGACAGCGAATCATAGCGTGAGATCCACGAAGACAACTGAGAAACCCGCTCTTCCGCGAGAAGACGGAAAAATCAAAAGATTAGAGGACAACAGGAAACTCCTGTTAGAACAACAATTAGGTAATTAGACTTTTCCGTGCTTAATTAATTGTGTTATGAAGATATATATAAAAAAAAAAAAAATCAAATTTTAAGGCGGCAGATGGGACGATTATGCTTCCACCGCTGATGACACCCAAAGCGTCACTTCTAAAGGCACAACTGACATGATGACGCAAGCTCACGTAGTGAGGACGCAGATTGAGAGAATGGAACGACCTGTACCGCCGCCGCCGCCCATCACGCCACCGCAACCACCGAGTCCAAGAGGCGGCAGTGTGTACAGCAATAGGTAAAGATGTCATCCAGATCAAATCTTATTGGAAATCTCGTAAAACTTTATGAAAGAATTTTTTTGTTTAAATTCACTTCAATTTTTATAATTCAAAAGTCGAGCTGTGCCGTTGTTATTGAAAATCTATTTTTTTTATTTTTCAGAATTCGAAATTGTTTATTTTATTATCGAGTTATTGGAAATGTAACATTTATCGCAAACTGCGAAGAGTTAAATTCGTAACAAATTTCAGAAAATTAAACAAGACATCAAGATTATGTCTCATTTAATGCCGTTCCTATTAAACAATGGCTAATCCGTTTGCAGTCAGTCCGGCGTACCTCAGCCGCGATCGCCGCCAGCGCCGATCGAGCCGAAAACCCGTGACTCCTTCCGCACGTCCCCGGATTCCGAGACCTTCGATCATTTTTCGAAAAATCAAATGTTCAGTCAAAGCCGAGACATCTTTGCCTCGCAGCAGCACTTGCGCGATAATCACGACTACCGCAATGACTTCGACAAGATTCGCGCGCAGGATGTCAAGTCTAAGGATTTCTACGGTAAAGACAGCACCGACTTAGCGAGTTCGGCGCGCGATCGCAGTTCCGACTTCGACTCGCGGCGAGACCTGAACTCCGAACTGTTCGACTCGAAATATGCGTTCGACGGGTCAAACGGTAAGCGCGATCCGTTCAGCATGACTCGGGACGTGTCGCCGAAATCGCGGGACAGTTTCGGGATGCCATCGCCGCGAGACTTCGGCGTCATTCCGAACACGAGGGAGTCCTTCACTGTCGCACGTCAGAGCTTCAACAAGCTGGACGACAGACGTTCGAGCGTAGCTTCGACTCATCGCACCGACAAAATGGAGAGGATTGAAATAGAGGAATGGCCGGAGTTTCTCAAGCCGGTGTTACCGCCGGCGGACAAGCCGGAGATTGAGAAAGTCCAGGAGGTGGTGAACACCAAGCTTTACCCACAAACCTCCAACGCGCACTTTACGTATAACAGAGTCACGTGGACCTTGAGAATCAAGAAAGAGATCTTCGCACCCAACGAGACGCTAAACAGCCCTCTAGCCTTGCATTTGGTGTTTTGCCAAGTTGCATACGACGTGCTGGCGACGTCCAGCATAAGAATCGCGAAAGAGGATCGACAGAACATGCTAAAAATGCTGGATAACTACGGCGTCACACTGGATAATCTCCAGAGTACGCAGCACAAGATCACGATCAAAAAGAATATCGTGGACATGGCAAAGCAGTGGCCGTTATACTTCGCTAGGATATTCCCGGTATCGGTAAGTTTACTTTTGTTTTTAATGATGACAAGCAAAAAAAATTATCACATGAGAAAAAGTGCGAGGAATTTGATAATGTACTTTAAAATTTAAGTTAACCTCAACACACGTTTAGATTAATAGCATTTTAATAATTGGTTTCTTTTGTATTCATCTTCTTCGCAACTCTCTATAGACGTTGAGTCATCACTTTGACTTAATCTTGACGCTGTTAACTGGTTTTGTTCGTCAATTCATTACGTAAACAGAATTCTATCATAATTTCGAGTGATAATTTGTTATATGTTTAATATGTAATCGCAAATGAAACTTAATAAAGAGAATGACTTGCTTTTTGAAATAAAATAAATTAAATGATAGCATAGTAATTAGAAATTCTATTGCACGTGTATACGCGTATGCCCGTATGCGTGCTTTCTGATAATCGCAATGAAAAACTTGAATAAAAATTGATTGAAGTGTGATAATTCAAAGATCATATCAGAGTCATCACCTGCGGCAGCCTGAGGATTGCTCAATGCTTATTAACGCGCAGCAGTCCGACCACTGCTTTTACCATTCGAATCTCAATGATCTTAATATTTACAGATTGGCCCACAGCATCCGGAAACACAACACGTGGCGGTGTCGCATCACGGGCTTCGATTGATCAAGCGCATTCCTAACGGCGATCTGATAATCCTGGAAACTCTGCCGCTGGAGGACATCGTCTCCGTGAATTCTGCCAGGGCGGGCGTGTGCGTGCTGCAGATCGCGTCGGGGGTGAGATTACCTTTCCATACGAATCGCGCCCCCCAATTGGCGGAGATGATCGGCAAGTACATCAGACTGGTAAGTGCAGCCTTGTCCTTTCTGCATACGCGGTCGAATACTGCATGCGCTCGTCCACAACCAATTAGCGATGGTCGACGCGGAAATTATAACGGCACGCCGTGCCTCGCAACCTGTAACGAGGCAACCGCGGGCAACGCCTAGTGTAAATTGCATTTCCAGTGAGTGGTCATATATGCTGGCCAATGCCTCCTCCTTCGCCGCTTTTTTTTTTCCTTCTCTCTCTTCTTCTTCGCCGCTGGAGAACGTCGGAATCAGCGATCCATTACCGGACACCGCGCTCAATACTTCTATTCTTTTATGCTTCTTCATCTTCGACTGCGGTTGCGCGATATCGACTTCCTACCTAGAATGTCGTCATTGAAAACTCTTCTTCGAACGCTCTTCTCGCCGATACTCAGTTTTATTATCGTGGCTCTTAGAAATTCACAAAAAAAATTCATTATACATTTTAATTCTTTTCGCCGCTATATTGGTGTATGCAGATTTCAAGGCAAGTGTATCTTCTTTGACTCTAAGAACCTTGATACTCCTTGATACATCTCAACGTATGATTATGGCTGCGAAATGCCGGATGATTTTTTGCGCGAGCAAGAGGGAGAAAGAGAGCGAGATAGAAGAAGACGGAACTCGTCTTTGCTCTTTGTGTCTTGTGCAAACGGAGAGATCGGATTTCTCATAACACGCGCTATGCATGTTCATCAGATACACCTGCATGCATCGTCGCCACACGCGATTCGCGAGAAGAGCGGATCGTTTAGCGTGACGAACGTTCTACCGAACAGGTGTATCGATGGCTAAATGAAAAAAAATTTTGCTGATGTACACATATTAGCGAATAATTAAAGATCGTCTTTAAATCTGTAATTCTTCGGTTTTTTTCGGATTTTAAACTTTTCAGGAAAAAAGAGAACCGAATGTAGGACGAATGATGCCAGATTAAAGCACAATTCAGAATATAACAATGTTAAATGAAATTTTCAACGCATATTAATTTAATATTATTTATTAGCTACGGCACATACGTCGCTCTAAGTGATTAATAGACACGAAGGATTAAATATAAAATTAAAAAAAAAATATGTAGCAGATTATACTCGTATTAATCGAGATAATACACATGTAGCATGGAATTTTTCAATTAACAGTCGCGAAGAAAATTAATTAGGCGTGATGTGGCCAATTCGAAAGTGCTTAATCCCGAAGTAGAAAGTATTAATAACGCACCATTTGTATTTCAATAATCAAGATTGTATGATATACCGTATTGTCCGGTGGTGATAATTCAACAATCATGATTCCTTTTGTCGGTATCCTTTTACTCTTCTGAACCTTCGAAGCTATTTCACTTTCACGTCGCCGTTGACAATAAAAGTTATACTTGTTCACGCTACGTTGCACTCGATTTTTTTACTTAATCAAAACAATTGATGTATGAACGGTAGTTAATAAGACGCGCAATTTCAAATTCCATTGCGGATTATATAACGGTAAAAGAAGCGAGCCACGTGAGTTCGCGACTGCGTGCAATGCTTCTCGCGATGTTGAAAGACGGACAAATGTTCTTTCACGGTATCTATAGTCGTCGAAATGATGTCAACTGATTGGAACGGAGGAATGCAACGCGCCGTGTCGCGCTAAAAATAAGCGATTCAATATTCATAACGTTATATTCAAAACGTTACGTCACAAAGTGGTATCACGCGGCGATGCGAGGAGGCCAAATGGCAGTCATAAAAGACCAGTTTAATTACTCATATAATGCTATCAATTTCTTCGCCACTTGCATTTTCTAAGAAAAGTTTTTATATTGAAAAAATAATAATTTCATAATAATTTAATATTTTACACAAAACATATTCAAGTATTTAATTACTATTAGTATTTCATATTATTAATTTTAATTAGTAGATTAGTACATTTTTGTGTAAAATTAAAATTATGAAAATTGGGATTTTATTTCGTATTTAGTAGTTCAGTGCTTATGTTGGAAAAATAATATTTTTATTTATAATAAAATAAGTTGAATTGTTTAATAATTCTTTAATCGGTAATTAATTGTAGTCATTCGATATTTTTGCAATTTGTCGCTTGTAGAAAAGATAGTTGGATATAAAAGGAACAGGTGTATTGAGATTTCCTTTGATTCCGAGTTCAAGTAACTTTACCAGAAGCAGTAGCTTGCCCCTCACGCTAACACGGACACCGGAAGTGGCTTGAATTGCTAATGCGAGACGATGCTCATTATCCGTTTCTGCCACGTTGGCCAAAATTTCCTTTTTTTACGCCCTTCTTTCTATCGTTAGAGTCCTTCAGAAATGTACAGAAAGTCCGAAAAAATCTTTATAAATTTTTTATCCGCACAAAATTCTCCTTTTAAAATTTTTAAAGAGAATTTTAGAATCGCTTTGTTTTTACAGAACGATCTGAAATACATAGAATATAAAAAATAGTATATTCTATAGAAATTGCATCTTAATAAAAAGTATAATTGCGAAATTGTGTCAAGAAACTCTTAATTGCAGCTGTAGAATAGCGATTTTGCAATATATTTTCTTGGCTTTGTACGTGTTGTTCTGCGGGGTAAGCGTTTTTATTCTGAATTGATAGTTCTATAATATTGATTTTATTGACATGTTATCTTTGGATAGGAAAATGATGTTTTCAAATTAGGATGATTTTTTGATATAAAAGAAATTTAATATATATACATAGATATTATGTGTATAAGAATAATATTTACATAATTCTGCGAGAAGATAGCATTTAATTAAATATCCGATTCGAATTTCAAAATATTCTCTTATTTTTTTCAGGAAATATCAAAATATATATATTAAAGAATTATTAAGTTAAGAATACTCATGCAAAACTGCTATAAAACGTAACGATTTAAAATTCAGTATTATCTCATCTTTTCCAAGTCGACTCTTCGAATACGATGAAGTCAAAGCACGCCTATCATTAAGATAATAACATCGTGTGTTGCAAGCGCGCAAAGTGAACGACAACAAGAATTTCAATTTCACTAGTACATTCCGTACATTCCCACGTGACATCTCGGTAGCTGGAATTGCGGAACGAATGAGCATAGAAATAGAAAATGTTAGATCAGAAAGTTTTTCCGCATTTGCTATCGCTTGACCGGTCTCTCTAATGTTGGAAAATAATTTCGCGAGCCATACAAATCGCGGAAAATATTTTGTTCTTTGAACCGGTACAGAAAATGTCGCTCTGTAGAAGGAGACCACGGAAGGAACATGTGAGTGAGAAAGTGACGTTTCTCCAGAAACGGAAATCGGCTCGAGTTTCTCAATATAATGAATGGAAATTTTCGAAAAATAAAATTCTTAATCCCATAAAGTACAAACCTCACAAGTTCATAGACTCGTGAAAAGAGGAAAAATTATCTAGATAATAACATAAAAAAATAAACATTTTTTAATTTAAAAATGACATAATATGCATACTTTAAGTTTTAAAATTCTTTTCCTATTTACGTGATCGAAATTTTTAAAAACAAATTTTAGCAAATGTTAACATAAATTACGAATAAATGCTTTCTGAAACTTAATTTCGTGTATACAAGTATAAAAAATAAATGTTTATATAATTATATGTAATTATCAAGTAATAATAAGAAAGAAATGTTTGGAAGATTGAAAAGTTGAATATACATATGCAACGAATTAATGTAAAAGCAACCGAGTTTTAAGGGCTGCACGGATAATCGATGATTTCCGTTTGCGGCAGGTGCATCGCCTATACAACCGTGTGAACTCTGAAAGTAATTTTCACGAGACTTCGAAAATTCCGGTTTTAATAGACGAGAAAACTGAAACCGCAGCGTACAAGGGAGGCGTGGGACTAAGGATTTTACAGACAGCTCCTATTGAGCCGCAAATCACAATAATCTCGCGTAATGAGCTATCGCTTCCGACTCTTTTCTCCCTCTTCCGGTTCCGATTTCTATTTCACTGCTGTGCCACGTAGCGCGTATTGCAGTGCGTGGAATATAGATGCCACTCAAAGGATCTCCTTCTGTGAAGATTCTTAGCAGACTTAGAATAAATTAAATTAAAAAACTTTTTATTTAAACTTATATGAATTTAGCATGTACCGTCAGAGTCACAAAAACTCTTAATATTAATAAGTCCTCGAAAGAAGCGGATGAAAGCAGGTGCTGAATGAATCTGGGACGACTTGCATACATTTGCAACAGTTTTCACTTTATCAATATTTCTTTTTATTTCTCTTTACTGATGAAGAACGACAAAATTGCCGTATTTTCAGCCGTAATTACTTTAACCATTTAACAATTCTGTTTGCGACTTTGAATATCCTGAGCAAAGAAAACGTCTTGTTTCTATAGCAGCGCTTCTCAATACACGTGTCGAAAGTCGACGATCGAGAACATACGTTCCGATCGAGCAAGATCGAGCGATGTAAAGAGCACCTCTCCGGCAAGAACAGCATGATTTTCCATGCTAGCGTGCGCTACGCATACCGCAAAGACGCCGATGTGGTGGGGCCCCGACCCAGATATCCGTCTTCCGAAGGGGCGAACAGAGTACAGCCGGCAGAGAACGGTTGGTACCTATCGGAAGCCTTGCGGACGTGGTTCTTCAGTTCATCGACTGCCGTCGTGCCGTGCGGCGTACCCGCTCGCGATAAACTCATGCGGAGCGGATTCCACGAGAGGATTTTAAATAATAATTTAAGTTTGCTGTGAAAAAAAACAAAACAAATACGATCTCGCTACTACTAGTGTCTTTTCAGGATTAAATATATATTTTTTGGAGGAGAAACCCAGCACATAATTAAATGAGTAATGTGAACGTACCTTCCTGTTTCGCGCAACTTTGTAAAAAAATTGACAAATGCTTCTAAATGAAGTTACGAACTTGCGGAATTCTTCGGCATCTTGACATCGAAGCTGATGATTGTAAGAAAAAGCGGCGGAACCTTTCCGGAGAAGATGTGAAAAAGAACATATCTCA